GGCTGTATTTGGTCAAAGCAGTTATATTGAAGAAAGAAAAAAAATCTCTTTAAAATAACTTTTGGTTAAACTTTCTTTTAAGGTGTCTTTGTCACACTGTAATTATACGTGCAAGTACTGAGTGATATTAACTAAATACTAGGGCTGTGCAAAGATTTATTGCGATTAATCGCATCCAAAATAAAAGTGTGTGTTTGTTTACATATTATATTTGTGTGTGCTGTGTATAATTATTTTGTATATATAAATACACACAAAAAACACAAACTTTTATTTGGGATGCGATTAATTAATCGCGATTAATCGCAATTAATCTTTGCACAACCCTAGTAAATACATATATATATGTACTATTAAATAGGGTTACGATTAGGGTTTGGTTTTGGGTTAGATGTAAATATGCATAATTTATAGTTATTACTCTAGTAATTGCATGTAACATCAATAGGGGAACTGGCCCCAAACATTTTAAAGGTATTATACATGCAAAATTATGAATAAACATTAGAAGCATTAAACACACACACACCTTGAGAAAAATTGTAGTCTGACTACAATGTTACATGCTACCTAAAGCTAGCTAAGACATTACTGGCAGAACATTTATTTATAAGTGGACTATCGCTTTAATTAAAAATCCCAAAAAGAAGTTTAGCAGATCTGGCACTGAGCTCTAGAGATGTTAAAGTCCCTTGAGACAGTGCACGTTTAAATGTCACCTGATCGCTTTCCTCTGCCCTCCTCTCCTGTACTCAGAATGGATTGCATGACTGCTGACCTGTGTGTTGTTGTCTAATCCTAACAAGATTGACTCCTCATTATCGCCGGCCAGCCTCCCCTGGGATGTCACTCAACAGGGGAGAAAGGCAAAGACAGAGAAAGATGCGGTGGAAATAGAGAGAGCGCACCCTCGTGAGTTATTAACATAATGACTGTCCTCTTCCTCGCTCCTTGATCTAGTCCTGCGGTGGTTCGTTTATTGAGCCCAGCGTGGCTCTTCCTCCTCCATCTCTTCCTCCGATTCTCCTCATTCTCTCCTTTTAGGCGGGGAGCAAATGTGGGCTGCCGGTGAAGGCAGCTGACATGGCCTGAGATTGGCAGGAAAGCTATTTAGCTAAGAAATGTCAGGGGCCATTTTGTTTTGTCAACAGCCCACATAGAGGGAGAGGGAGAGACAGAAAGACAGATGAGATGAGTGAATGGCAGGGCTTCTGAATGTTGTGTGAGGTGTTGGAGGATGGAGTTGACAATTGTGATTCCTACTCTGCACAAAAACAAAATTCACAACAAGCTGAATGTTATTAACAAGGACAGATACCAGAACAGATGTGTGTCTGTTGATGTATGTGTTTGCCAGTTAGGATAAGTTAGCATGTATGAAGCATGCTTGCACAGACTTGTGCCCATAGAATCCCATAAAGCTGAACAGAATTTCTGTTCAGTTTAAACGCCCTTCATTCACAAAGACTTACACATCTCCCACCCCTCACATGTTCACTTATTCAGTTCTTGATTATTCTTTTAGCTACGGATAAGTGTGTATTACTCTCTGCCCTTTTTAAGGTGTATTTTGTTATTTATGAACCACTGGTGACACCCAATGAAACTGTAAAACATAATAACTGTTTTCATAACAGGAATGTCTACCAAAACAATGTCAATGTCACCTCTGACTCCCATTGTTCAGATTTTTTCAAATGTTTTTGAAATAGTTTCTAATGGCTGCATATAATTTTTCAAAAATAAAGTAAGAACTGTATTGTGGAATACTTTTCGACTATTTGAATAGAAAATGTATAGAAAAACAGCATTTATTTTAAATATTTGTTGTAACAATGCAAGTCTTCATTGTTACTTTTGAAGCTACTGACCCCAACATTTTGAAAGGTAGTGTATACTTTACTGTGTATTGTTATTGTATATTGGAGCATATTATCATTCTTCCTTGGATGTTGTGTGGAAAACATGCTGTAATTATTTTTTACTTGATTTTTACAGGGTTTTAGTTCTTCTATATAGTTCTTCAGGAGTATTTGTTAGGAAGTAGGGGTTTAACGGTTCTCAGTAAATAATTGATCTGTACTGTTTATCCGTATTAATCACTGAGCAACACTGCGGTTCCTATGTTGTGTTTATTTGAGCTTTTACGCATATTACACATTGGAACGTTGTTGCTGTTCACGGTCAGGGACTTTATTCCTAACTTCATGAAAGTTGCACTAATACATTTTTTTGTAGCCTGTCAGCCTCTCGTACCTTATTGCTTTCATAATATGGTTTATTGAAAATAACAATGCGTAAAGCAGACAGACCCAGTTAGGCTAATGTATGTTTCCATTGATGGCTTATTCTATGCGAGTGACATATGCTCTGATATGCCCGCTCATTTACTTACTTCATTTACATTTACTGTCAGCATGCCCACCCTGGCGAGTGTCCTAGCAAACATAGTTGGTTGGGGTTTTAAGTCAACGCAAACAGTCGAGAAAAACAATTTGTGTACGCACAGTACCCTAATAATATTCCTGCTGTCTGTGTTTTGAATGTTTATTAAACAACAAGGAAATCACTCGCTCCTCTTGACTGAATAGCTTTTGTAACTTTAAAAAGAATTAGATGCCTGAAAAACACTGATTATTTTATTTGTACATTTGCTTTATTGTATTATTTATTTGTGGTGTACTGTTGCTTGTAGTTTGATTATTCTTATTTTGTTATTTTTTTATTTGGCATTACTTCTTTTTCCCCTGAACATATAACACATACCAAACCATACCGAAACAGTGACCCTAAAAGCATGATAAAAACCGAGCTGTGAGTAATTTGAACCGTTACACCCTAGTGTAGGGGGTTTGATCAGTGTTTGGGGTGTTTGTTGGGGCAGTGTGAGCTGTGAGCAGTGACTGAATCAGCTCAGGCTGGATGAAAGAGCTCAGTCACAGCACAGGCTGTTCATCCTCTCACTGGGGATGAGGGGGCCAGGAACATGTAGAAATGCATGCTAATACTGTGCGTGCGTGTGTGTGTGTGTGTGTGTGTGTGTTGAACTCCATATCAGTGTGAGCAAAGGAAGTGCAGGTGGGTGCACATCAGAAGTCTCTCCCTGTCTATCTCTCTTTTCTCCTCTCCCCTCAAGTGATGAAAGCTTGTTTTATACAAAGACCCCTTTCAGCAGGGAGACAGCAGCCTCACAGAGAGCACTTATCATCCCTCGCTTCCTTTGTTTTTTCTATCTGTCTCTCATCCGCTCTCCTCTATTCTCAACCCATCGAATCAGAGATGTGCTGGCAGGTGAGGATGTCACTATCTGGAAAAGCAGCATTGTATCAAGGAAAGAGCTTGTATTGTGAGTGCAGACCTGCAGACTTCTGAATGTAAAACCAGTTAAATAATTCAGCTCATTAATGTTTTTTTTTCCTTTTAAGTTCACCTTTAAAGTCATTACTGTGATCCTGAAGAGAAGAACAGATGTTTGTGAAAAAGAGATAGAAAAGCTCACCAATTAGCCGGCTTATTTAGAGCGCAGAGCATGTGAGGCTAAGATGCTTACCACACTACACGCAGATATGCATGGTTGCTTTCTTTTGGGGGTCTGGGCAAGACAGGTTGTTAAATATAACAAAGGTAGATTAAAGTTATTTTGTGTGTGTGTGTCTGTGTTATTGTATATATTGTTTATGAGAACACAAATGTGTATAATGACATGGGTTTTATTACAATGTTATGAGGAAACTTCTCGTATGTGTGTGTGTGTGTGTGTGTGTGGCATTCACACCATGGTATTCAAGAAGAATGTTATGTTTGGAGTGATGGAGAGGAAGTGAGATAGCTAACATTCACCTACATATTTTTGGCATGGGATACTCCACCCAAAAATTAAAATTCTGTCATCATTTACTCACCCTCAAGTTGTTGCAAACCTTTATGAGTTTCTTTCTTCTGCTAAAAACAAAGGAATATATTTTGAAGAACGATTGGAACCAAACAGTTGAGGGGCACCATTGATTTCCATAGTATTTTTTTTCTACTATGGAAGTCAATGGTGCCGAACAACTGCTGGGACTGGTGTAAATTACACACAAATGTTTGGTTTCAATCGTTCTTCAAAATATATTGCTTTGTGTTCATCAGAAGAAAGAAACTCATACAGGTTTGCAACAACGTGAGGGTTAGTAAATGATGACAGAATTTCGGTTTTTGGGTGGAGTATCCCTTTAACTCCAAACACTCACTTAAGGTTTTGAAATAAGTTGCAGCTATCAAGATCATGAGAAACAAATTTAGTTAAATGTGTCCATAATGTACACCACAGGTCAAAAGTTTGTGGTTGGTAATATTTTAAGGTGTTTTTTATTTTTATTTTATTTATGTCTCTTATGCTCACCAAGGATGCATTTATTAATCAAACAGTAAAAACAGTCATATTTTGAAATATTATTATTACACTTGATAATTTAAAATATCATTTATACCCATGATGGTAAAGCTGAACTTTCTTCATCATTACTCCAGTCTTCAGTGTCATGTGATCCTTCAGGAATCATTCTAATATGTTGATTTTGTGCTCCCTTAATATTTTTGGGGAAACTCTGATCATTTTTGTTCAAGACTCTTTAAATATACATTTTATAAGAACAGCATTTATTAGAAATGGGAACAAAAAACATTTCTTTACTGTCCCTTTAGATTTGTGTCCCTGCTAAATAAAAGGATACATTTTTTTGAGGAAAAAAAAACTGACCCCTTTACTTTTGAATGGGATTGTATGTGTGAAATTAAGCTGTGCCAATGCAGTTTCTAAGGGCAACATGGCCTCTTTCTCCCATTTTTTTTTTTTGTACAGAATTTGTGATTTGAGCTCACGTTTGTGAAGTGAGAATATCTCTGATCCTCTCCTTAGTTTCCATTCTCTCATGTGCCCAGTTGTGTGAATTAAATGGACAGGTTACAAAGAGGCATTATGTGTTTTTCTTCTTTCTTTTTGTCCCTTTTACATATAGGGGACACTCCACAAAGGATGAGATCTGCTCAGTATCCAACCCCTGCGGAATTGGATGCTTATGCTAAAAAGGTTGCCAACAATCCACTCACCATCAAGATCTTCCCCAACAGCGTCAAGGTCCCTCAGCGAAACCACATTCGTCGTACAGTCAACGGACTTGACACAGCTGGCCCCCGATACAGTCCCTACCCTTCTTCTCAGACCACTGCCAAGACTGGTCTCCTTGCCATCGTCAAAGTGCCCCTCGTCAAGGGTATCATCAAGGACTTCAACGGCACACGGGCACGTCTGCACCCAGAGGTGATCATGAATGCCGCCGGTGGCCCTTATGCAGCCACCTCGGCCAGCACTTTAAACCTGCACCACCTGTCGCAGGGTCCTCCAAGAGGGTCCCAGAATCCGCAGGGACTTCCTCAACACCCTCAGAATCTCCAGACTTTGCAGCAGCCTGGGCCTCCACACCAAGGACTTGGACACAGACCTCCTCCCTCCATGCCACAACAGCTCCAGGGCCTTCCGAGGCCGCAAAATCTGTCCCACGCAGCTTCTTTGGGCCACCCTGGCACCCACCCACCTCCAGCCATCCTGCTTCCTCAGCAGCATCTACAAAACCCCTCTGCAAGCTTGCAGGTGGGTGCTCGGAAGGTACCGGTTGCAGACGCCCCTCCTAACGTGACTGTTTCTACCTCAACCATTCCATTGTCCATGGCCGCAGGGCTCCACCAGGACCGTCAGGCGGACTTAAACAGCATAGTGCATCAGATAAGCCAGTTCTGCCATGCTAGGGCTCAGGGTGCCGGTGCTACGTCGATGTGTGAAGGACAGATCGCCAACCCCAGTCCCATTAACCGAAATCTACTCATCAACGCCAGTTCTCGAGTCTCGGTGCATGCGGGAAACCCTAGTGCACTCGCTCCTGGTCTCATGCACCCATCCTGTGCTATTGGACCTCCTGATAAAGTAACTGCTTCTGCGCCGGTGAGTGCAATGCCTCCGCATAACATGGCTGCAATGAACCACATGTATCACAGCGATATGAAACAACAGCAGCACCTACAGCATCAAAGCCATCAACCTCAGCGAAATCCCCAGCATCCACAGATGAGGTCCTGGACTCAGCATCAGCTTGCTCACCTTCAGCACATTTCCGAAGGGGGCGGACACCCCTGCAAACCGCAGAGTCGTACCTATCCCCCAGAGATGGGCATGGGGCAGCCTTATGCCATGAAACCCTCCAGCCCTTCGTCGCCACTTGCCAACAACCACAGCAGCAATGCAATGCCACCAGGCGCAGTGACGCACTACACCAACGGGCAGTACTACCACCAGCCGCCAGTGTGGGGTAGTATTCTTCCCACACCCAACAGTGACAGCTCTGGCTCACAGGACCTCCCTTTGCCCTTCCATGGCACTGGCACGGGCAATACCAACCCCACCCCGGGGATGGACCCCGTGGGAGGAGCGGCCCATTATCGATTAGTAGGGGGTGCCTTAATAGGGCAGACTAATCTGATGCAAACAGCAGATTGCATGGGAGGGGACTTCCAGACGCCCTGCTTCCGAGATCAGAATCTCATCCTGATGGGGAAGATGCACAGGCCACCCCCTATGGGCCGGGTAGTGGTCCCCCCCTCCGAGGCGCAAGGCCAGCACCCAGGGTACAGATAAGCTTCAGCTCACAAGCCTCAGACACAGTCTCTCCTCAGTGAAGTCAGCCACACACGTGCGTGTCCTCGACATCTTCTGTTAGTCTTAATAAAATTTCATTACGAGAGGAACTACATGAGCTCAAAATCTCAAGGATGATTGTTGATGAAAACAAAGAAAAAAAATTAAGAATTTAAACATGTCTAACTAATGAAGAGCAGTGTTTTGTGTGTTTAATCTTGCAAGTGATCAATTTATTTTCTTTTAACAAGTGCTTTTTGAGGCACTAAAGGGAACTTAGTTTAGGTTTTTTCCAAACTTGAATTCTGTCTATCTCTCCTAGTACCTGGATCTCAAGTGCTCCTGGGTTATTTATGACCATCTTTCTTGTGTTAGTGCTTACATTATTAAAAGTGTCTGTGCATTGGACAAGCAACTTGCTTTCATTTGAGAGATCTTTGTTTCAAGCCTGTCTACTAACATCAAGATGGCTGACAGGCTCAGAGCACTTCCCTCTTCAGCATGACACATTCTTTGTCCTTTATTTCTTTTGTCAGTGTCTGAACTATATGGAAAAACGCCAATCACTGGTCCCTTCAGACTGTTCCTTGGTCATGTGTTCCTTTACATCAAGCACCCCTGTTTCTTTATTTTTAGAAAGAAAATGTATTTGTTATGGGCTTTCTGGATTTATGTGTAAAATGGGAACTGCTTTAAGCTTGTGAAAGGTTGAAACATCACCTCATTTTGCTGGACACAACAGGAAACTTAAAAGACAGGAACCGCATACAATATGTATCACGCCTCTTTTAGTGATGCAACAAATCAGGTGTCATTTGCATTCTGAGTCACTAATGTGAGTGAAGTTTTGTATAATGATTGTGACAAATTCTCTCTTTTCTCTGTAAAGCTGTAAAGGCCAAAGGAGAATAGCTACAGAGGTTTCAATGTTAAATCTGTGCCATTTTCGTTTAACCTAATCATTATACTCCTTTTATTTCCTAACATATGAGAAACTACTACTTGAATTGTATAGATGAGTTGTGCAGTTTCAGGTGGGTCAAATGTGGTATAGCTGTGTAAGTGGGTTTGAAGGACTAAACATACTACTGAAGATGGTGTCTGTAGGCTTGTTACTAATATTATGATGTAGAAACTATGTACCAAATCAAGGGGTTTATGATCCTGCTTTTTCTAATTCATCCTTTATAATAACATAAAGTAGGAATTGCTACTGATTCTTTTGTGAAGTGTGCTTGAATTGACCAAATTGATCACTTGCAAGATCATTTGTGGTTAAATTAAAGAGGACTTTTTTAAAAGAAAAAAGTCACAACAGTGAAATGGCAGTTGGATTGCTTATTTTATTGTACACTGGCTTATCTACTGTACTGCTGTATCTTTAAAGAAGTGTAATAACTGTGTATGAGTGCGGCTGCATATGGATATGGGTTCATGGACTTGGTGTGCATGTGAAGAGCGCAGGTGTGTATGGGTGTGTGTGTGTGTGTGTGTGTGTGTGCCGGTGGGTCAGTTTGTCTTGACTCGCGGTTGGTTTGCCTCCCCTTAACAGCCCTCATGAAGCCTTAAGTATTTGGTCCTTGGACTTTCCTTTGACAACAAGCATGATTATAATAAAGGTATAATGAATTCTGATTTCGAAAAATAGTCTGTAAAGGAACAGCATTTTTCCTTGTTTATTTTTATTAACTTGAGCTTTTGTTGAATAGAAAAGCAATTCTTTAGAATTACTTTATAATGTAAACGAAGAAATAAAGAATATTTTATCGTCATTATGTTTTATAGCTGTGTGTAGTTCTGGGCTGTAACAAAATCTTTTTATTCCATGTTTCAAAGCTTCAGTTTTGCAATTTGTGCTATTTATAATTCTGAACTAGATTTTTTTGCTTATTATTTAAATCCTTTTTTTTTCTTTTGCAATTGCTGTGAAATGGAGGAAGCTTCTAGAAGCCTTTCTCATATCTGTCACTCTGTGGCTGTTGATTGAATGCCGTGGGAAGAATCTGAAGAGTGCGAGAGTTGTGCTACTCTTTTTTTGTAATATTGTAATAATAAAATAAAGTTCTAATTTATGCTTTCAAGTATGACTCCATTTCATTTATTGATTGTCTAAAAGCTGTTTTTTCTTCTTTAAATCTTCAACCTTGAACTGGTCTTAAATGTTCATAAACCCTCACCCAGTCTTCAAGGACAGTGACCTGTTTTAAGACACTGTCTTCTCAATCAGTGTCTGCTCATCATATGTGATCTGACTTCATGTAGCTATTGCAGGAAATGCAGACCATCCCACACTAAAAACAGGAAGGCAAACAAAATGAATTAGCTGATCTTGTCACAAAATCATGTTGTTTTGGCGATGGAGTGAATGGAGCAGTAGTCCTCTCTCTTGCAGTACATATAGCCTACAAGTAATGCAAACCAAATGAACATTTGCTGCTCTGACTTCTAACGATGAAGAGATTCTAAGACATTGTCCTCACAACTTATGCATTGCAGGCTTAAGTCAGTTCTGGTAACAAAGGTCTGCTAATTGCTACACCGCCAATATAGCCTATTGCTAAAAAAATAAACAATGACAAATTTCAAGATGGGTTGTAGTCCACTGAATTATACTCACATTTTATTTGTAGGCCTATACTAGGCTACTGTTCGCAAATTATTAACAACATAAGCGAATACATCCATTAACAGTTATATGTAAAACTACATTTATTCGTTTTTGGGAATACTTTACATGGTGTGTGTGTGTGTGTGTGTGTGAGAGAGAGAGAGAGAGAGAGAGAGAGAGAGAGAGAGAGAGAGAGTGAACACTGACACAGTTGAATGGAATCATTCTGTTCTTCTGGAGAACATCGTATCCTAATTTAAGAGAAAGAGTTCTTATTCAGACCACTTTTCCAATGGCTGTCTCGGTTACGTGTGATGATTTTTATTTTAGCTCGTTTTATATCAAAGGGAAACAGCGCCGGAAGTGACGCGCAACGACCGTGCATGGCGTCGCATATTTAAGCCGTCTGGTGCGGATGTAAAATTTAGTTATATAATGGAGCACAGCAGGACACTCGAGATCAGACTGAGGTCATAGCATTGCAGCTCTACAGTGAAATGATGGCCAGATGACATGACCCATCCACAACTGGACGCTTTCGATTATAGTGGCAATAAGTAATGTTAAGCACAGTGGATTCATCATGTGTGGACCTTATTTGCATTATCCTGTGATGCTTCTCAGTTGTTGTGTTACGTCAGTCACCACAAGAGGGCGATATACACAAACAGTTTCCCACATTGCCTTAAAATCAATCCAGCTTCGTGTTTTTAACATTTTCATTAATTAGTCTACACTACATTATATTATCTGTTATAAGTAAACGGTACTCAACTCTTGCATTTTGTTGTATTCTGGTTTATAGACACGTTTGAAAGGCTGGAGAAACATGAAATGTGATTTTTTGATTGTTGGAAATGAGGTAGGCTATTTGTGGTTCTTTTATTGTAAAAGTTGTATGTATATTCTTATTTTCAAAATGGAAATCGTATTAGTTTTATTAAGTGACCATTGGGTTTAATATTACATAATTTTACTCTTTTTTTCTTTATTTAATTAAGTGGACAATGTCTCAATTCTTTAGGCTATTTATTTCTTCATCTTAGCTCTAAATCCTTTACTGAGCAATGGCTGACTTCAGCTCTTCCATCCAGCCCATTTTTATCTTTGAATATGTAATCTTAAATTACAACACATGCATATTCATTTTAAAAATGTACAGCGTTTAAAAGATATGATGGCCCTTGAGGTGCATATGTTTTCTAAATGATCAACAAAATGATCAACATATAATACAATTATTCCTACACCAGTTTGCAGATTGTCGACCGATCTTTTTTGCTTGTTTTTCCTACGCACAGTCTATTATCTGCAGGTGTACGCTGGTTTTTTTATTGATACACCAGTTGTAATGAAAGGAAAGGGCAAAATACATAGTGCAATAGATAGTGATTATAAAAGCATCAGACGGAGGTAGAGGCTTCGGCAAGAGGATCCAGCTCCTGTACATCTCTGTGGGGTACCCTCTGTGTCCAGCGCTTACTGAATGTTTGTAGGAGTCCACGCTGACTGGGCTCTGTAACAAATACAGATATGATATTATGTAAGTTTAAAATAACACACAAGTACCAGTACACACTTCTTTGTTTAACATTGACTAGGCCTACCTCTCTGAGGTTTAGTTGGGGACGGTAAACTTGTGCATTTCCCAGGATCCTCGTTAATTATACCCATGTTTCTGTTCCATTGGTTCCAGTTGACTTCCTCCACACTGAAAGAAAGATAGTTCATTATTTATGGTTTCACTCATATCTGTTTAATAGCAAACACAGAGGTTAACACAGGGTCCATTATTATGTGTGCTTGCTAATATCATTTCATAATGTATCATCCAGATAACAGACACATGCAAACTTCAGTAGTTGTTGAAGCCACCAGGGTCACCTGAAGCACCAGCGTAGATCAGGCTCTTTCCCTCCGCCCAGGTCCTTCTGTTCCCCTGAGCGAAGCTTTGTCTTCAGACAAAGGGGAAGCATCCACTCCATGTCCAAGATGGTGATTGCACGCTGTGATCAACAATCATATTTATTGCCTAATTGATCAACTAAAATGGCAAATCAGTTCAGTGCAGAAATGGGTTGACCGTTTTCATTTTGCATTTGATTTTACCTGTAGTTTCCAGATGCTAGTGCTCTCTATGGACATCTCATCCACGCTTTGATTCATCAAAGCGATCAGCATGTTCAGCATCAGAATGTATGTCATCACTATATACAGAATCAGCAGCACATAGAAGACCTCCGGATATCTAGAATCCCCAGAGAACTGCAGATCTCCCATGCCAATTGTAAACTTGAACAACTCCATAGTGATGACGCCGATGTCTGTGGACGTCTTGCAGTCCTCATCAAAAAAAGATCGATTCTTGGTATTGGTAGTTTTTTTTTTAAGGAGAGTGACCACAGCTGATGAGTAAGAAACAAATCATCAATGCACACTACCGTTTGGGGTCAGTGAGATTTCTTAAAGTTTTGAAAATTAAAAATGAAGTCTGCATTTATTTGATCAAAAATATGTTGAAAACAGTAGTAACCATTTTCTATTTGAATGTATTTTAAAATGTACTTTATTCCTGTGATGGCAAAGGCTGAATTTTCAGCATCATTACTCCAGTCTTCTTCAGTCACATAATCCTTCAGAAATCATTCTAATATGCTGATTTTGGTGTTTAAGAAATATTTCTTATCATAATCAATGTTTAAAATAGTTGCATAATATTTTTGTGGAAACCATCATACTTTTTGACAGGATTCTTTGATTAATAAAAAAGTTCAAAAGATCAGCATTTATTTTAAATAGATTTTTTTTTCCACTTGCGATCAATTTAATGCATCCTTGCTGAATAGAAATAAATGTTTTATAATTACTTTATAAAACAAAAATCTAACTGACCCAAAATGTTGCAAGTTTGTTGTGTTATGATGAACATTAAATTAATTGTAATGAGAGAATCATGTACATTGCTGAATGTATGCAAGGGAGAAGGATACCTGCAGAGAACCCAATGAGGAAGACCATGTACACAACCAGGAATCGACGAATTTCTCCAAGAATCATCTGGCAATAATTAAAGAGCGTACATGAAGTAATGCTTTAGGTCCTGTCTCTACTATAAGGACTGCACTATACTACATTGTGTTGCATAGCATCTTTTTAGCACCCTACTTAAATAATACTCTACTTTGAAGGACAGAGTCAAGGATGCTGCTGGAGAGACAAATATCCCTTACCTTTTGTATCATGATACTGTAGATGCCCATATGTTTGGACCCTCTGAAGAAATAAAGTAGGTTTACCCAGCTCAAGGCAAGACTCAGCACTAGAAAGGCCAGAAATTCATTCTGACCAAAGCAGTACAATACAGCTGAGACCAAGAGAAGCACGGCCTGCAGAAAACTAAAGCAACAAAAAGACTTTTAGCGGGAGTAAACACTGTATGTATGCACTTACTGATCGAGGTTTTATGTAGTAAAAATTAGTTATACTGGTGCAGTTTAGCCATGTGCATATAAATAGTGATTTCAAAAACTTAACCACGCCGTGTTAAGTTTTAACTAGTAGAATTATTGGCAAAGAATGTCATGCATGTATAAGGAAATTATTCATACTGAAATAAACCAAGAGTGAAGCGACTCACAAAAGCTGATCGCTATATCCGTCTATGACCAGGGACTGAAATCTCGGACGCTTCCTATACATATCTATTAACTTGAAAGACAAGGGAATGCAGTTATTTCTGTAATAAATAAATAATTATAAAAATATGTTTTGCGTTTAAAGTTAAAGGGATAGTTCACTTTGAAATTAATTGTTGATATGTTTTAGCTTACCTCAAGGGCATCCAAGATGTCTTTGTTTCCACAGCATTTTCAATTTTGACATTTTTCGGTCAAATCGTTGTTGTCTGTCAGTCCTAATGCAGGTCTATGGAGCCCACCTCAAAGAGCATGCACAGAGAGCCTGCACATGCACTCAAAATTAAACATGATTTAATGACTTGTAAATGTAAGTACACATTGATGGCCTAAGACACGAAACGAGCGGTTTGTGTGAGAAAACGAGCAGTGCTTATATCGTTTTTACCTCTTTTACCTTGGTGTGACGTCGGAAGTGATCGCGTGCGTATGTACGTCACGCATTGTTTACACTGAGATTTCGGAAGTTTTACCTTTCACTAAACATATTTAGATATATTGTATACAGTGTTGGGTAAGTTACTCTAAAAAAGTAATTAATTACTAGTTACTAATAACCTCTTCAACAGTGTAATTAGATTACTGTACTAATTACTCTCTCTAAAAAGTATTTAATTACTTTTAATTACTAATTACTTTCAAAATCCCATATCAATCTCAACCAGCTGAAACATGAATCTGTTTCTTTCAAATAAATACTATAAAATTGCATGAATTATCCTTAAACTGGCCAAGGTGGAGAAGGTTACATTATAAAAAACATACTTTTTAGCATCAG